TAGTCCATCGGATAGAGAGCGGTGAAGTTTGAGTAGACAACATTGTATTTGCCATTGCTGACAAATCCGAACTTTGGTTCATACAATTTCTTGTACATCGCCTTGTGAACCATGTCGGTGTTGAAGAAATAGTATGGGTAAATTTCATAGATCGCTGGCAGTACGATGCCCTTGAGATCTGGACGGTGGAACGTAGCCATGGTCAGAGCATAGATGAACATGCCCTCGTTGACGTTTTCACGAGCCCAAATGACGTTCTTGTAGAAAGTTTCCCAGTCAGCGCAGTTGTAGAAGAAGTTGAACAGCAGATAGGTCTGCTTCATGTACTCCTTATTGTAGATGGTGAACATTTCTCCCTTTGGCAGGAAGCCAAGCTTGTAGTATTCAAAGAACTCGAAAACTTCATTGTAGTTCTGAAATGAAACATCTTTTAGTTGATTGGGAATTTCAAAGGAAATGTGCAATGCTTCCATACCGTGTATTTGGTCTCATCGGAAATCCATGTCTTGGTGTATGGCATGTACTCCTCGAACATGAGAGGCAGATGGATGTTGCGGAACACCTCGAAGAAGAATTTCTGCTTTACCAGAAATTCCTTGTCGGCTGAGAATAAATGAAAATAGTTATGTTAATTGGAAAAGATTCCTACAACAAGAATCGACTTACCATATTTTAATCCGGTCACCGATTTCTCCACCGGAACGTAAGCTGCACTGGTCAGTGCGACCAGGCAAAGTGCAATCGCTGCAACCGTCAGTCTCATCTTGTTCTCTCCTGTACGAGCTCAACTGTGAGCATGTCCTGTTGCATTAACGGACAACAGCTTTTATAGCACTTCCATCAATATGTTATCAATTTTATGTGCTTTATGTGTTCTTCTCTTCATTCTACTTGTGATAACCAATTGACTGTATAAGGTAATAACACCTGTTTTTCTCATTGATTGACCTTGGATTGCATGTATATTGGAATGTTGAATATGTAACTGATAAAAACAGTTATCAAAAATAAATAAATTTGAATATTTTACACCGTTGTGCTGTAATTTATTTCATTGCATGCATTCACGATTAAGAAACGAAAACACTCTGATCGCAGTTCTTCATTAGTGCGTTAGAAATATGTCAAAAGGTTTCAATGAGAATGTATGAGAGAGTTGAGTTTAGCATTACTATGTATCAGATTAGTTGGATTAGTTTATCTGCATAAAAATAGCGAAACATTCTGAATGCCATTTCGCATTTCAAAGCGAATCATTTTTTGGCTAGAAATTATGTTTTAACGATTTACTGGACGTTTTCTTTCATTCCATTTTGGTGCAGTCTATATTGGTGGTTCACTAGCCTTTTCCTTCCCAAGGTAGAGGTGCTGATCCACAACTTTTAAGATCATCAAAGTAGCAATTGTAAAATTGCTTTAACCCTCTGCTTCCCACAGGTAATCTACAACTTTTCCATTCGTCTCATGTTTGTCAATTTACCATTAAATAGTCAGTACTTATTTAAGGTTCTCCGTGTGTTCATTATTCTTGTCCATATGTATTCTTGAGGATTCAACTATTGAACAATAATTAGCGTACTATTGATTTTAAATAAAAACTTTTTTGATGGATTCGATGTATGGAACATTCTTTTTCTTATTAGAATTAAAATATCATTCTTGAAAACTACCAGAAAACTCTTTTCGTAATACCTTGGAATTCTCTTTAAACCTATCATACGGACTTCCACGGAATCCTCCTTCATCTGAACCTATTCTGAGAATTCGACCCCTTTGAAATTCTTCACATAATTTTCCTTGAATTCTAGTAAAAACTCTCCTCAGAAATCCTGCGAAATTCTTTACAGAAATCCTTCGCAATTTCTTATCAGAAGTCTCATCAAAAATCCCTTGGAATTCTCCTCACATATTCTCCTCTTCTTGGAATTTTCTTGGAAGAATTTCTTTTAAATCTTCTTTCAATTTTATTTTGAATTAAACTCAGAGTACAATTATTTGGAATTTTTCTCGGAATTCACTTGATTTCTGTTCCCTCAAATTATGTTTATAATTCTATTTGATTACTCATTAAAATTAACAAGGGGTTCTTATTAAGATCAACCAGATTTTCTCCATACAATTCTGAGATCCCCATACAATTCTCATCAAAATCACCTAGGAATTCTTCTTGAAGTTCTCCTTACAACTTTTTAAAGAATAAAATAGGAATTCAATCCAGAACTTTCTTCTCTCCTGAAATTCCATGGAACTCATGTCAGAATTTCTTCGGACTTCATCTCAAAATTAGGTTGGAATTCTGGTCAGAATTCCTTATATTTTTTACACGAAATTTGTAGAAATTATACTCAGCATTTTAAAAATAAGTAATTTTCCCAGTATCTGATTCCACGAAAAAATTTTAAAATAAAAAATCTTGAAAACAAAATTCGTTGCCGTCACAAATGTCAAAGCCAAATGTCAAAGAATCATAGAAAGTTTCTCAAATCTAAAAAATGATAAATTCTTGTTAGCAGTTGTAGAGAATGTCGTCTGAACGTTTGAACACTACCACCGGTGGAAACTAACGATTTTAAATTGGCTCACTACTTGACTAGCCTATTGGTCCGAAGCAAATCGACTAACGTACCCCATTCTAGTATAAATTCTAGTACTACTCTATGTTTGTTTTGATTCGCTATGAATATTTGACAGATAAAATGAGGGGTTAGTGGATTTTCCTATGTTTCGAGGGGCGAATCGATTAGCTTGGGACCGAAGATAGTACCAGAGCTGAGCCAAAAAGTTGAGCTCGTTTCTTCGGGACCTTCTGGTCTTAGAGTTACTTCTATGCTACTAGTCTTAGAGTTACCTCTATGTTACCACCATCTGTTGAGCATAGTGCCCTCCTCCATGTCGACATGCACACTTAATCTAGCTCGGTATAATCTACAACAACCGATTACCCCGGCATTTACTTTTGCTGATATATCTGTAAAATATCTGTTTGTTAGCTGCTATCTCAGCAGAATGATATTTGTTAGCTGAGTCTCGGCAATTGTTTCACTGAATCTCAGCAAAATAAATTTCAGAACTACACGGCTGTTGGTATTTTAATTTTTTTTTTTATTTAAATGTGCCGTGACCAGGATAGCACGAACCATATTAAAAGTGATGTGATCATCCAACTGCATCGATCCCACAAAATCGAACATTTTTTGCGAACAAAACCAGTCAGTGAGTGCACTTTAATGGATAATTGAACTACACTCTTGAATTTTTTGGCCGAGATGGATATCAGTGAAAAATTTGCCGAGATTCAGTTAACAAACGGCAATTTTGTCGAGATCTCGGCTAACAAACATAAATTTTGCTGAGATCTCTGTAAAAATAAATGCTGAGCCTGCTCGGTGGTGCCAATCTTGGCAAAAAAAATCTAAGTGTGTACGCCACCGCCTACGATGGTGTGGCTTTTCAAGTAGCCATCTAGCAGAGAGCAGAGCATCCCGCTCGGATCTAGCTCATCATCCAATACTGCTGCAAATGGCTCAGTACAAAACTAAAATTTTCAGCTTTATAAGCTGTTGTGCTGTAAAGTAGCTGAAATAAAGCTAGATACAGCTACAAGCAGAAGCTAGCAAAATAGTTTTGAAGAGCGTTTACTCAACTTTTTCGCAACCATTATTCAATTTGTTGGTCGCACATCACCCAATAAACGCTAATGTCACTTCTATGCAAATATTAATAAACTTTCAACTTTTAGCTTCAAAACAAAGCTAATAAAGCGAATACATATATTACTTATTTGATGGCTTCTACACAACTGAATAATATAAACATCAAAAGTGCTTTTTCAACAACTAAAAAACCTGTATGCATCTAATGTTTGCGCTAGTTTGGAAGCTACACAGCTAAAAAAAGTAGTGTAAATTTCCGTTACTATGATGCACATAAATGGAGCGTCATATCTCCATTTATGTGCATCATAGTAACAAGTTTAGATTATAGATCGTGTAAATTTATGAGACATATCATGCAGTATTCCATATATTGTATGCAACTGTCCAATTTCGTTTGCAACATTTCTTGCAAGCTGCTAGTTTACGTGAAAAGGAAGTTAACATGTATCAATGTTTGCATGCATGGATGTTTACATCGCCAGTAAAATTCAGAATTTTTTGGTGTGTATTTTACAGTCAACTAGGTTTATTTTTAGACTTCAGGCTTTACAAATCTGAAATTCCTCCAACAAAAAAAAGTGTAAACAATATTTAACCTGTCTTCAAGATAATTTGTAGTGATTATTGAATAATCGCGAAAATATTGAGTAAGCGCCTTTCAAGTTCACACACAACTAAACAGCTGTATAGAAGTGTAAATAGATATATGCGATAAGAGCTTGACCCAACCGTCGCAACAGCCATAAGTAGCTGATTTGCCAGATTTGCTTGTATATAGGTTGAGTAAAGCTTTCCTCATATCGTATAATATTTGAATACAGCTTGAGGCTGTATAAATGAAATGAGTAAAGCGTTTACATTGCGAAAATTGTTAGTTGGGTACATTAACAACAACGGAGGCTCATTAACAACGGGCAAGTGTCTACGTTGGATATTCGTCAGACTACATGACTAGTACATCGTACTTTCTTCATCGGTCAACAATGGGCAACAAGCTGCTCATTTTTCATCACTGTACGTGCAAAGTCAACAGCAGATTTGTTGTCATCAAATGACATAAAAAACGTTGTTTTTGGGGGGAGGGAAGTATACGTTTGTTTACAAAAGATGATAGGCCCTGTTCAAATGTTACGCGAGATCTTTGCAAAAAATAGTGAATATAAATGGAGACCAATTTATAACATTTATAATGTTTTGTGCACTTGAGTTGACAAATTCGAAGGAGAACAAAGAAGGTAACCAATAAAAAAAATCTTACTGGAAATTTATTATTTTCATAGCAGTGAAGATATATATTTATATTGTATTGTAAGTATGCTTAGAAACTATTTTCTACAGAGCATCTCATGCTGTTTCATTTAATTTATTGTTATTGAAATGGTAGATCGTCACATCTTTAAATAGCATATTTTTGGTCATAAAGTGACTGCCATCCAGTTCACGATCGAAGGGGAATCCAAACGGTAAATCCTCGGTATATTTTGATCCTGAACCAGCTCCACAGCTGATCGTTTCATCGTAAGTAGAATATTGAGCAACACTTGGCGGCTGGTATGGAGTGATGATGAAGAAGAATGTTATTTCATATCCTGTTGAAAGACCTCTTGGTAGCAGTAGTCGATCTGGCCAGCCGCAGTGTGTTTCGGACAAGTCCAGCACAAATTGCTTCTCATTTTTTATTGCTCGCATGACTCGTTTGTACAGTTCAGTATATGTAGTTCGATCCCGAATGTCGTAGTAGAAATCGTTGGTGGATCGTTTGATAATATTTTCACCAGTAACAATATCCACTAAGAATTGGTCCATTTCTACATAGTATTTCTTTAATGATTGAAGTTGATTTATGCTTTGAAACTTAGGGCCCATGTACATTCGAACGACGCCTTTCTTTGTAATATTAGACATTACAGTCATCGTGTAATTGAACGGTTTGTGGTTCAAACGTTTCTGTTGTGCAAAAACTATGAAATCCCATGTGCTTTTATCTTGAGCGTTTTTATAATTGAACGGTAGTCCATTGCTGATGTCAGCTTCGAAGTTGTCGAAGTAAGTGATCAGCTGATCAATGGTCAATCCTGTAATTTGAACACCTCTGAAGCTCAACTCATCGACGGAATATGGCGGAAGATAGTTTTTAAACTGCCAGTAGAAGCCGAGCATCCGTTCGAGGAATTGATAAAATATTGGATCACGCATCGAGGTTTCATAGTGCATCAGTGATCCTGGCCAAGAGTCTTCAGTAGATCCGTAATAATCACCTTGAGCAAGAATCATCCGAGCATAGACCTCCATTGATTTGAAGTAATCCATGTCAATGCTATCAACGTTGCCATTAACCATATTTCCAACAATATCGATCGCTTCTGCAGCACGAAGATCAACTTTAGTTCCATTCGAAAGATTATAGTATCCAGTATCTATCGCACGCCTTATTCGAAGCTCATGATCTTTCATCAGCTGCAGTTTCATTGGATCATATCCTCGCATGTTGAAACTGTTTTCTCTTGATCGAACTGGAATTCCATTCCAGTAGCGTAGCATGGGATAGTGTCCTTTTTTTAGTGGGAATTCCCAAGTAAGTTCCTCAATAGCCCCTAGTGAATTCGACTCTCTTTCCAAATAGTACCGTGCGAGCAACTGTTGGAGCATGTACAAAAACAACTCACCGCGGCGATCCTTATTCAATCCAAACTCTTCACCTCCTAAGAAGGAAGGATATTCAAGCATGAAGTAGTAGTAGTACGCATTCAAGCCAATATCTTCCGTAAAGTATGCCATTTTGCCTTCCCCATAATAGTTGGTTGCGAACTTCGATGTGTAGTTACTGGTGGCTACATTATGAGTATTTCTAGTATAGAACCCATATTCCGGATCAGATAGTTTACGTAGCATGGCATCATTAATCAAATCACCGTTGAAGAATAGATATGGGTCTAGTTCGTAGATTGATGGTAATATTATGCCTTCCAAATCCTTTCGATGTAACACAGAAAGTGTTAGTGCAAAGATGAACATGCCTTCGTTCACATTTTCCCGTGCCCAGATAACATTCTTGTGATAGGTATCCCAACCAATGGAGTTGTAGAAGAATTGAAACAGCATACGAGTTTGCTTGAGGTACCAATAGTTATAGATGGTAAATATTTCACCTTTCTCCAAGAATCCTGCTTTAAATAAATCGAAAAATTTCGAAACTGTGCCGAAATCCTGAAAATATTTTATCGATGATGTTTCACAATCAGAGCAAACAAAGTTTATAACAATTTACCTTATATTTGGATTCATCTTCGATCCAGGTCTTCGTATATGGTAGATATACTTGAAATTCCAGAGGTTGGTAAATGTTTCTCAGTATTTCAAAGAAGAATTTTTGCTTCAGTAGTAACTCTTTGTCGGCTAGAAATGAAAATCACTCCTGCTTGTATTTATTAACATGACATAAACCTAATTTTTTAAACATACCATATTTGCTGTTCTCACTGGACGCATGTGAAACTGGAACGAAAGCTGTACAGCTAATAACGAGAGAAATCACCAAAAAGATAGGCGGAAATCTGATTTTCATTTTGGATGCTGCTGTAAGTACACGCCTCGTCACACTGAACGGCGCGGGATTGTAACATATTACTTTTATACAATTCGTAAGTATTGATACGTGAGCTGGTAGTTCATTCAGTTATACCTTTCCTTTCATAATAAATACTGTTTTCATTGCACAATGTTGATGTAAATGTAAGTTCAACAGGTGATCCATGTTTTCATAACAAAATCAACTGAGCAGAGTCATATTTGTAGGATGATAGAAGCGAGGTGTAAGAATGAGTTTATCTAAGACAAATTTGAACACCTCTTAGGTATATTGGGATTGGATTGACCAAGTCAGTAACGAGCTGACATACCAATTCCGGTCCAGGAATTTTGCGGGTGGGACTTCCCATAATATATGAATGCAAAAAAGTTAGTGTACATGAATTCGACAGTGAGCATGCATAAGGGCGTATACATGATGATCGATTCTCTTCATCGATTTTCTCTTAGCATTGCTACAGCTAAGTGAAACAATTTTCTAGAATTTGTTCAACTCAGAGTTGTAACAGGTTGTATTGGCTATCAAAAATAACAGCAAACGCACCGAGAAACGTTAAATCTATCGAGTTATTAACAAAAGAGAAAATCGACGAAGAGAATCGATCATCGCGTTTACAGCCTTATGCATGCTCACTACACTGATGTAAAATTTGACTTTTTCGCTCCACAGTGCTTAAATGGTTTCAAATCGGGTCCTGATTAGCCTCCCAAAGTTACAACTCATTTGGTTAGAAACAGACTTCGCACAAGCCATTTGAAGTTTACATGTAAATTACTATGGGAAATCTCAACTTTTTGTTCATTGCCTTCTAGTCTTTTTCCATATTGAGCTGCGGAGCAGTTCGATAGCCATTCTTATAGACAATTTTCTCAGCTACAACTTTGCTGAAGATCGTTTCAATGTAAAACGAGACAGGAAAAAATTATTATTTATTTAAGAGATTGGCAAACTTATGACATGATCAAGCAGCTGCTCTGTAGGCAACACTGTATTTTGCAGTGTGACATAGTAGCCATGATTTGTGTGTCCTATTCAACGCCCCAGAAACACCAATGTTGCCTGCTGAGCAGTTGATTGAGCATGATCATAAGACATCAGTGCATTGATCCATTGATAACCTTCGATTCTTGCATTTAATCAAAAAGTGGTCTTCAGCAAAGTTGTAGCTGGGAGAATTTCCTACAAGAACAGTTGAAAGTTTTTGAAGCAGACCGATATGGTGAATTATTAGATAGACATGAACAAAAATTTTGGTTTTACCATAGTAATTCCCATACAAACTTCAAATGGTTTATGCCATCTCAGTTTTTCACCAAATGGGTTCAAATTTTGAGAGGTTAGTCAGGATCCGGTTTGGAATCGTTTAAGTATTGTGGAGCGAAAATTTCAAATTTTACATCACTCTAATGCTCACTGTCGAATTATACTTAAACCACTCCACATTCGCATATATTTTGCATTAAAGCGAAGACAACATATCACGAAGACTGGCAACTTTTGCATTTTCTCGTATGATCTGGCAAAGTTGCCAGTCTTCTTGATATGATGTCTTCGATTAAAGGTACTACATACAAGCTGTACACAAAATTATTGCATCAGACAAAATGTATCACCAATGTCCAAAAATTGTACAATATAATTAATAATTGAACAGCTGGTTCAAATGGAAAGGTTGCCGAAGAAAATAAGGCTTTCGGCAAAAGCCGCACTCACCTGAGAAGATTGGAGTATTGTAAACAAACAAACACGTTATATGTGTTCGTGACAATAAATAAGAAAGCGCTAATAAAAGTTCGGACGCTGCTTAGAATGACGAGAAAACGTAAATTCTCCTACTTATTAGAAGTTTGTTCTTCAGGCAAAGTTTAGATTTTCTGTTGATAAGCGGCTACAAACATTTTATATATCTGTTACGTTTGGCTTGGATGCTCTCAATGTGATCTTTAAAAGTTAATTTATGGTCAACATAGGCGTACCCAGAGGGGGCAGGGGGGGGGCAACTGCCTCCCCTCCCTAAACTAAGCAACACAAAGCCTTTCAGTGAAATGGCGTTCGGTGAAATGACATTCGGCTGAATTGTCCATAGTAAATTATTTTCGCCCCTCCCTAGCTCGAAACCTGACTACGCCCTTGATGGTCAAATACTATACACTTATGGCGGTAAGCTCCAACTCGGATTAACTTTTAATACCGTCCCTGTTTGGATGATCTGCAAAATGATTACTTAGAGTCATGCTGATTATCAAAGCAGCCGGACATTCTTGGTCGGGATTTAATCCGAGGATAATACTAACAATCAATACGAAACTAACGATTTTAAATTGGCTCACCACTTTAGTAGCCTATTGGTCCCAAGCAAACGATTAACGTACCCTATTCTAGTCGAAATTCTAGTACTACGCAATGTTTGTTTTGATTCGCTATGAAAGTTTGACAGATAAAATGAGGGGTTATTGGTTTTTCCTATGTTTCGAGGGGTGATTCGACAAGCTTGGGACCGAAGATAGTACCAGAGGTGAGCCAAAAAGTTGAGCACGTTTCTTCGGGACCTACTTGTCTTAGAGTTATCTCTATGATAATACCAACAATCAATACGAAACTAACGATTTTAAATTGGCTCACCAATTTAGTAGCCTATTGGTCCCAAGCAAACGATTAACGTACCCTATTCTAGTTGAAATTCTATTACTACACTATGTTTGTTTTGATTCGCTATGAAAGTTTGACAGATAACATCAGGGGTGTGTGGATTCATGCAGAACATGCAGGGGTGAGTGAAATAGCTTGGGACTGCTTGGGACCGTTGTTCTGGTACTGAGTGAGCCAAAAATAATAATGATTTTCTTCGGGACCCAGTTGTCTGAGAGTTACCTCTATGATAATACCGGTTGGAGCTTACCGCTATTAATCTAGGTCGGTAAAATCTCCTACAGCCGATTACCTCGGCATTTACTTTTACTGATATTTCTGCAAAATATCTGTTTATTAGCTGATATCTCAACAAAATGTTATTTGTTAGCTGAGTCTCGGCAAATTGCAGAATTATTCAGCTATTGGAATCACGGCGAAAAATTTTATGTGTGTAGTCCAAATATTTCACTTGAATTGACCAAGAAATTGGAACTCCGTTCATTGTAACATGAGTTTTGGAAGTATTGGTAGAAATATTCCATTTTTGTATATAAGAAGACAAAATATCTAACTTTTTTGCAGTCCGCTACAAATAATACGAAAACTTCTTCCTTTAGTGGAAATGCCTGTGTCATCGGCGAACAAAGAGCAACCAACAATCAATACGAAACTAACGATTTTAAATTGGCTCACCATTTTAGTAGCCTATTGGTCCCAAGCAAATGATTAACGTACCCTATTCTAGTCGAAATTCTAGTACTACGCAATGTTTGTTTTGATTCGCTATGAAAGTTTGACAGATAAAATGAGGGGTTATTGGTTTTTCCTATGTTTCGAGGGGTGATTCGACAAGCTTGGGACCGAAGATAGTACCAGAGGTGAGCCAAAAAGTTGAGCACGTTTCTTTGGGACCTACTTGTCTTAGAGTTACCTCTATGGAGCAACCCTGAGGCAAATCAGGGAGGTCCGAAGTGAAAATAGGCCCAAGAATGCTACCCTAAGGGACTCCTGCTCTAACAGGTAGTCGTTAAGATTGAAATTTTGTTAATTAACCTTCAGAGTTATGTCAGTTAAATAATTTTTCCTAATATAAAAAGGAAAATTAAACTCATTTCAATTTCGCAATCAAACCTTCATGTCAAACACTGTCGAAAGCTTTTTCTATGTCTAGAAGAGCAACTCCAGTTGAGCAGCCTTCAGTTTTGTTTGAACGAATTAAATTGGTAACATTGGCCCATGGCGAAATCCATACTGCTCCCTCATCTGCAAAAATTGAGTTCGTATTGATGTGAAGCATCATTCTATTTAAAATCATCTTTTCAGAAAGCTTACTTATTGAAGAAAGCAAAGTTATAGGATGGTAGCTAAAAGCTTCAGCGGAATTTTTATCCAGCTTCAAAATTGGAACAACTTGTGTATTTTTCCATTTATCAGGAAAGTATGCCAAATGGAAACATCTGTTAATTCATTTTACCAAGAAAGACGAGGTACTCTCTGGGAGTTTTTTGAGGAGGATATATAAAATTCAATCGTCACCTGTAGTTTTCATATTTTGAAACTTGCCGTTGCCGAAATATCAGCAAAATTATGAATTACCGTGACGGATCAGTATTTTTTTCTGCCGAGCTCGTGAATCTGTTTTAGGTGTGTACGGACATTTTTAAGACGGATCAAGAGCTGAAGATCCTTCTGAGTAGCCTGGTATTTAAAGCAACCAACTGATGAAGTTTGTCAAGGATGTCATCAGTTTTTCACATGGACCAAATTGAAAGAACAGTGTTTAATCAACAATCAATCCGAAACTAACGATCTTAAATCGGCTCACTACTTGACTAGCCCTTTGGTCCCAAGCAAATCGATTAACATATCCCATTCTAGTACTACACTATGTTTGTTTTGATTCGCTATGAAAGTTTGACAGATAAAATGAGGGGTTCGTGGATTTTCCTAACCGAACACCGAAGATAGTCGAGGGGGACGACTCTATCTACGCTGCAGGAAATATTGTGTTTTGCTGTGGCTAGCTGCGCGTACGCTGAGTAGATAGAAAGAAGATTTATCAAGATTTTGAAGATTTCCTACAAAAAGATGATGCGCGATGCAAGTAGATGCGAGAAATGAAAGAAGATTTTTCGAAGATTTATTCGCTAGTGTGAGATTTATTGAGCATCTCAATTTGAGATTTAGATGTGTCGCCCCCCTCGAAGATAGTACTAGAGCTGAGCCAAAAAGTTGAGCCCGTTTCTTCGGGACCTGCTGGTCTTAGAGTTACCTCTATGGTTTAATCTGCGGTTTAATGGAGTAATTCCATAGAGGTAACTCTAAGACTACACTGAAACAAAATCCATTGGCAAAAATAC